ACTATCACTATCACTACCACTACCACTACCACTACCACTACCACTACCACTACCACTACCACTACCACTACTACTACTACTACTACTACTACTACTACTACTAATGCGACGACGACGACTACTACTACTACTACTACTACTACTACCACGACGATGACGGCTGCTGCTACTAATTAGTACTACTACCGCCTCTGCTACGACTGCTGCTGCTGCTGCTGCTGCTGCTGCTGCTGCTGCTGCTGCTGCTTCTGCTTCTGATGCTGCTGTGACTATGGCTTTCAACATTACCCCGATCTACAACCACTTCTACCGTCGCCGCCGCCACCGCCGCCACTGCGACCACTCCACCATCACATGATACTGACATTTTTGCCTGCTGCAGGAGATGGTCATGCGCATGAGGTGCTCGCTAGTTGTATACTCAGAAACGCAAAGCTGCTGGTCAAGTATCACGACTCATTCCAGTGTAAATCGAGATACTACTCCTGTTGAGACTCGGGTTGCTGCCAATGTCACCCCTTGCGGTGGCTAAATTGCTGCAAAAGCTGGACCGGAAAAGAGCATAAACTCCCGTGTACCCATCCCTCCCGAAACCTGTCTAGCTACGTTTCTCTTTAATGGAAAAGCCACTCCGTAAACACCATTCGTCTGTCAGCCCGTTGTGTCCTCGTCGTCTGTCATTTTGCTCCCGGCTCCGCCCGACACGGATCCTGGGGCTGTGGATGGAGTCTGGCATGGTCCTGGAAGCGCTTCCTCCAACCTCAGCGCCTCGGTTCTGAAGTAACCAGGAAAAAAGAAACCATGAAAACTGCTCTTCTACAATGACCATACCCATAGGCCCCATAGTAGTTCCTTTTGTGGCTTATATTTAGGATCCTATTAGGTAATCCCAAAAAGGAACTACGCCCCGCAAAAAGGAAAGCACCCACAATGCCGGGAAGACGAAGGCTCGGATCTTGGCTCGAACGCTGCCTCTGCAGCCGGGGATATCGTAGGAACCGGAGACTCAGAGATCTTGGCCAACAAGCTCTGATAGTCCCTTTCCTCATCGAGAGATTCAGCCGTCGGGGTCTGATCCTGGCAGGCCACATTTGGGGGTTTCGGAAAAGAAGGGGTACCCTATTTTGGGGTCCTTATGATTAGGATCCTATTATTTAGGGTGCTATATTAGGGTCCCCTGTTATCGGAGACCCCCATTTAATGAAGTCCTAGTCCTTCAAGACACCTAGTATCAAAGCTGAACTCTGGAATCCTGTCACGCAGACCTCTAGCTGCAAGTCCGATCTACCCGGAAGTGTTGCGAGTCGTACAGGCATCCGAACTTTGGCAAGGTTTGTGCGATAAAACCTCCGCCAGGGATCCTTTCATCCGTAAATGAGGGCTTCTAGAGGGCTGTTAAGTCTGGGGCTTTAGGGCCAAGTCTTTTGGGTTTAGATGAGTTTGGGCTGCAGGGTTTTTATTGTGGGGGCTGAAGTTGAAGGGTGCCCTACACCCTTGAACTTTGCCGCGGCCAACCAGAACCCGGTTTCTAGCCAGCCGGACCCCTATCAACACGTGCCGGGTCCACTCACATTCGTCGTCAGGGCTTAGGGTTTACCATGCAGGGTTCTTCTCTATGATACCTGCACACGCTATATGGAGACAAGATACCCTACTTTTTCATTCCCCTAAACTCACCATGTACCCTAAACCCTAAACCCTGAACCCTAAACCCTTGGCAGATTTAGGGAAGGCTCTAAGAAGTCCTCGAGAGTAGGGCTTTCAAGCTCGCTCTGGAAAGAGGTGAGCAGCTTGACCAGTCCTTCAGCAGGGTTTAGGGTTTAGGGTTTAAGGTAGTCTTTGGAGTTGGAGTTTTGAGGATGTGGCGCTCTTTCTGAGGGTGCGGAGGAGGAGGGGGCGAGGGGGGGGGGGGGGGGGGGCTGGGTGTGTGCTTTGATTCCGTGATTAAGGGACTTTTGGGAGATGGCTCGGCTTCACATGATGAGGGCTTCGGATTTTTGTAATTGCCTTCGATGGTTATTGGGTCTGTAGAATGATTGTAAGGGGTTCTTTAATCAAGATTTGGGTTTTATGCAGGCTTCTAGTGCTGCTACAGAGGATAATGGCTTAGGTCTATCACTTAAGTGCGGGGCTCTGTGCCAGCTAGATGTTGGACAGGCCTTGGCAGCTGTGTCACGGAGTTTTGTTGGTTTCCAAACCGTATAAGGTAATAGATCGGCGACCTCCGATCCAGACAGAGAGTATAAACCCTAAACCCTTTTTGCATCAGGGCTTGTGCAATCGCCTGAATGTCTGAGCCTACAGAAGTTCAGCTCTCATGTACCCTAAACCCTAAACCCTAAAACCTAAACCCAATAATCCCTCTCGATGCCTTCAAAACTGCCGCTCACAGTGGCCCGGTGTGGTGCCGGATGTGGACTTCGGATTGCTCTGAACCGGGATCCGACCCTTTGGGGGTTTCCGAAAATAGGGGACCCTAATATAGTACCAACAGTAGGGGACCCGAATATAGTACCCTAAATACAGGACCCTAATATAGTACCCTAAATAGTAGGATCCTTCTAATGAGGCCCCCAAAATAGCGTACCCCTTGTTTTCGGCTCCGGATCATGTCACGAAGAATGGGTGAGTTAGGAAACTGCCCGCGGAGAGCTTCTCGTGAATAGTGAAGACGTCACGAGCGCCGTTGGAAGTGCAGTGATCAATCATGCACTTGGCCGAAGGGTTTAGAGGCCTGTTTAGGGTTTAGGGCTTAGGGTTTGAAGGTTCAGGGGCTTGGGTTTAGGGATTTTTTCCCTCTCGCATGGCAAAGAACTATGCTCACAGGCGAGGTCGCAATAGGAGCACATCAGCATGCAGTGGTTTAGGGTTTAGGGTTCAGGGTTTTGGTGGCCTCGCAGTAATCCCCTGCTTTAGCTTTGCTTAATCCTTCAGGAACTTCAGGCTTAGCGCTTTATTGTCGGTTTCGGGGTTTCAGGGGGTTCGTAGTGCTTGGCAGTGTGGCATGGTCTGGCAAAAAAAACCTGAAGTGGTTTTGCCGCAGCAGAAGGGCACAGGTACAGGTGGCCTTTTTGCACAGATTCTGTCATGCCCTGCTAAGTCGTGAACAATTCTGAACCTGAAGCACCCTATACCCTAAACCCTAAGCCCCAACTCTAAACTTCAAATTTAGACCCTCAAGCCCAAGCACAGCACCATCGACGCGGCAAGCCATGCCAAGACCGTAAACCCTCAAAGACCCTAAGATATCGAGACCGCTCATGTGCATGTAGGGGTTTAGGGTTTAGGGGTTTAGGGTTGCTGCAAAGATAGGGCTTCGGGTTTGGAGATGATGGGATAAGGGCTGGGGCCTACCCATAGGCCCCATAGCAGTTCCGTTTTGGGGTTCATATTTAGAATCCTATAAGGTAATCCCAAAAAGGAACTACTATGGGGCCTCTGGGTAGATTGCACATGGGGGGATCAGGGTTGGTTGGTTTAGGGTTTAGGGTCGCGAGGGTTCGCCGGCGGGTGGATGGAGGGTGGTTTTCTGAAGGGACATGTGTGCGATGAGGGGGTAGCACATAATAGCAGTTTGCACCGCTGTTTGCCTGAATTACCCTCTTTAAAACCCTGGGCCCCTGCCTGGCAGTGGTATCTTCACCTGCCAGGCACTCACAAACGAGGGCTTCATCGTCCCCAGGGCCCAGGAGGACAGCTCAAGCATACACCCACCAGCATTTTGAAAGGAGTCCCGCATACACTAGACCAGCCCCTTCTCAGCAACCGGGGTCAAGGTTTGCAGCCTCGAGTTTGCGAACTCTTCAGGTTTTCGCGCCCGAAGACTTCAAGAGCCACCAACTCCCTAACTAACGGGTCAGGGCCTTACCCGCATCCCAAAACTTACACCTACAAGGGCTGCACCCAAAGCCCCTGCTGTTGAGGCTACGGCTTCGAGTCACGCCCCCCCCCCCCCCCCCCC